AGCTAGGTCGAACTTATAAACGAACGGACTTTAATTGAACCAGAACGGACGCGGACATTAAAAATAAAATGAACGCTAGGCCCTAGGGGCTTCAGCGTTGCAATTAATGTCCCTTTAATTTGTCGGGCCTTATTTGAACTTTCAATTATAAGGTCTGATAAGAAACGTGCGATGAGCAATAGACTACTACTATGTACTAGCAATTAGAGTCTAATTGCTAGTCTATTGCTTATCCAGCAAATAAACTGACTAGCAAGCAATAGACTAGCAAGCTAGATAAAGATCTGACCAAGTCCTGGCCTGCCGAAATTTAAGTATATTATACTAGGAGAATGGGCTGTCTATTGATATTTTGGTTAATTTTGCAGTCTGTCAGGTCTTGCTCATTCTTCAAGACATCGATTAGTGAAGCCCATGACACAGGCGGGGCTAAGTGCAAAGAAACTGATGCTCACTGCTGCTCACTGCTGCTCACTGACAGCACGAGAGATAATCCTTAAAAGTTAAAGGACCAGTTAACTGAAAAATTTGTAGTCTCCAATTTGGCTAAGATTTAAATCAGCTGTGACAAACTGGTAAAGAATCGTATCGCCGAAAGAACCAACTCTCTAGCGTACGTGTAACGCGTGTTATTGCAATAATAAGCTGTGGCCTCGTGACGTCATAAAGTCCCTCAGTGCATAGCGTAATTTACATTACAAATGTTTATCATCGTCAATAAAACACGTGTAACTCACTCAAATTTTAGAATTATGACTATTACCCTAGTTCTCCAAAATCCTCATAGTTTTGGCTAATATCATTCTAACTAAAGGAATAGCTGATTGGATGTACAGTGCTCACGTCATGATTTTAAACAGTGATATAGGTTCTTGAACAGTGGCGGGTGAATGTACGGTTAGAAAGTTTCTGCTATTACAACTTATGTCATATGTGATAATTTTGGATTGTTTTCATTGCTTAATTACACAAGCAGCTAGGGAGACTGTACCGATTATTTTTCCCCAGTCCATGAAACTCTAACGAATTTAGAAAGTATCTAGATAAGTAGGAGTTTGTTCAATTCCGAGAGCAATTATATTTATAGCATAGCGAAATTTATAATTTTAATCCGCATGTGTCTGCAGCCAGTACAGGAGACAAGAAGTCTGGCTACTTTACGGCCGTTCCTCTGGGACCATTAGTAGAAGTAGCTTCTATCAAACAGTGCCGTGGGAACAGAATTCCCGCCAAAATACCCGGTCTCGGGTCTACCAAATAGTAATACTGATCGGAGTGTACTATGTGTGCGGTGTGTTTTGAATTAGACTTACGGCTTACCTAGTTGTTATCCTAATTGCATTATCAGCGGTACATAACATAAATAAACTGCTGGTAAGTTTAAATACCAAGTGCAAACGTGTTCAGTCAATCGACCCACTGAAAAACTATAGAATTTCCAAGACCCTATTATTCTCTGGCCATATATTACGGCACGATCGAATGTTAGATGGCTAAACGACCAAAGTTATAATCTATACAATTCTAAAACTATGAGCTAGCACTTTATTCTAAAAATACACTTTTTATATTACTCCTGATTTTTACATTTCACGTAAAACATTGTCGCCACAGGTTGATCATGGACACTAACAGCTTGATTTGAGATAAATGACTAATGAGTTTCTCTAAAGTTAACTCTAAAGTTGTGTAGTCCAGTCATTTATGGACATTTATGGAAATGAACCTGCAAATGTTCAAATACTCACGAAACTTTGCACAGACCTTCCCGAAGGAATGAATAAACGATTTTCGTTTGGAGACATTTTTTTGACCGTGGAGAAAACCCAGGAGGGCCACGCCCATATTGACCCAATAACGTAACCGACCCCTTGCTTTTGAAGGTCGTAGAGACTTCAAAATAGGCTTGAACGAAGCCGCATATGCATGTTTATATAGGAGTTATTGAGCAACACATGGCCTAAAATCCTTACTTTTCGAGAAATTCGCCAAAAACCATTTTGGGCGTGGTGCCGAGCCCATTTTCGATAGGATCGTGATAGATATTAATATATGACTTACGAACAAACATATGCCTTAAAGTGCTTACTTTTTCGGCACTATCCGTCGCGGAGTCGAGTCCGCGGCGGAGCCGCCGGACTTCGAGCGGACTCCGAGCGGACTCCGGCGGAGCCGCCGGACTCCGAGCGGACTCCGGCGGTGCTCCGCCAAAATGTATTTACAGTGGACTCGAGTACATTTTGGCGGACTCCGAGCGGAGCCGAGCGGACTCCGAGCGGACTTTAAAGTCCGCCGCGGACTCCGAGCGGCTCCGCGGCGGCTCGGCGGAGTGTCCGCCGCGGACTAAGCCACTAGGCGGACTCCGGTCCGCCGCGGACTCCGGTGGAGTGCTTGGCGGACTCCGCCGGACCTCTCCGCCAGACTTGAATCCGGCGGAGTCCGGCGGAGCTTGGCGGACTCCGCCAGCTCGGCGGACTCCGCTCGGAGTCCGCCGGACTCCAACAGAGTCCACTGACTTCCGACCTCCGTCTTCCGACCCTCGGCTAAATTTGTCACGTGACATACAACATAGCATTTTGCAATATTGTGGTCAGATGAAAAGGTCGCTAGTGATAAACCTTAACCATTACCCTCACAATGTCAATAGTGTACAACTCTAGTCCTAACTTTGACCCTATAATGTATAAACGTTGACCCTAACCCTCCACCAAACCGTCCGCAGCGAAATATCAATGTCATTGACTGGTCACGTGACCAAAACAATTTTTGTCATATTATCTCATATGGGGAAGCGTTTTTAGTTTTACCCTACACGTTGCATGTGGCGTCATTCGGCCGGATCCCAGCAAGCAAAAATACGTCGACCATCACAGGACGACGCCAGCAAGCACTCTCTACGCTATTCGAGCTCCGATCGTCCTGTGACGAAGTAAGGACGAAGCCTGAGGTCCTCAGGTAACATCGACCACCGATTGAAAATTCAAAGATTTTTTGACATAAAGGTCAAATGTAAAACTAAAATCTTGATGCTGATTGATTGACGACGTCAATTTTTGAGCACAGCGCGAGCGCATGCGGAAAAGGACTGCGTAGCTAGTCCATAGTCAAGATGTTGATAAATATTTGGCTTGTGGCGCGATGTGTTGCTCTAACTATAGCCCTCTCGCTTGCAGTAGCGCGCGACCGCCGGAAATGACTTGTGGAACAAGCGCGCCCGCAGCGGCGCGAAAGCACCTGGTTAGCTAAATGAACGCGATGTGCCTTGCATTGTAGGATGAAATCCTATTAGCTGACGCCACTCGCAGCTGTGATGTTCGCTGTACGTCAGCGATCGAAATTTATACGCGTATCACCCGTTAAGATGTGCCACCCGACGCGCCACTCAATTTTTTTCGTTGCTCGTCGCACGTCGACGCCCTCATTAAATTTTTGGAGAAAATCGCTCGCCAAAATTTGTTGGACCAGGACGATGTCCTAGCCTGGCAGCTCATTGCGCGGCGCGTCGCAACGAGCTTCGTTGTTCGTCGACGTGCGACGAGCAACGAAAAAAATTGTGTGGCGCGTCGAGTGGCACATCTTAACGGGGGATACGCGTATAAATTTCGATCGCTGACGTACAGCGAGCAGCACAGCTGCGAATGGCGTCAGCTAGTAGGATTTCATCCTACAAGGCACATCGCGTTTACCTAGCTAACCAGGTCATTTCCGCCTCCGGCGGTCGCGCGCTACTGCAAGCGAGAGGGCTATAGTTAGAGCAACACATCGCGCCACAAGCCAAATATTTATCAACATCTTGACTAGCTACGCGGTCCTTTTCCGCAATATGCGCTCGCGCTGTGCTCAAAAATTGACGTCGTCAATCAATCAACATCAAGATTTTAATTTTACATTTGACCTTTATGTCAAAAAATCTTTGAATTTTCAATCGGTGGTCGATGTTACCTGAGGACCTCAGGCTTCGTCCTTACTTCGTCACAGGACGATCGGAGCTCGAAGAGCGTAGAGAGTGCTGGCTGGCGTCGTCCTGTGATGGTCGACGTATTTTTGCTTGCTAAAAACGCTTCCCCATATGAGATAATATGACAAAAATTGTTTTGGTCACGTGACCAGTCAATGACATTGATATTTCGCTGCGGACGGTTTGGTGGAGGGTTAGGGTCAACGTTTATACATTATAGGGTCAAAGTTAGGACTAGAGTTGTACACTTGACACTATTGACATTGTGAGGGTAATGGTTAAGGTTTATCACTAGCGACCTTTTCATCTGACCACAATATTGCAAAATGCTATGTTGTATGTCACGTGACAAATTTAGCCGAGGGTCGGAAGACGGAGGTCGGAAGTCAGTGGACTCTGTTGGAGTCCGGTGGACTCCGAGCGGAGTCCGCCGAGCTGGCGGACTCCGCCAAGCTCCGCCGGACTCCGCCGGATTCAAGTCTGGCGGAGAGGTCCGGCGGAGTCCGCCAAGCACTCCGCCGGAGTCCACGGCGGACCGGAGTCCGCTTAGTGGCTTAGTCCGCGGCGGACACTCCACCGAGCCGCCGCGGAGCCGCTCGCAGTCCGCGGCGGACTTTAAAGTCCGCTCGGAGTCCGCTCGGCTCCGCTCGGAGTCCGCCAAAATGTACTCGAGTCCACTGTAAATACATTTTGGCGGAGCACCGCCGGAGTCCGCTCGGAGTCCGGCGGCTCCGCCGGAGTCCGCTCGGAGTCCGGCCGGAGTCCGGCGGCTCCGCCGCGGACTCGACTCCGCGACGGATAGTGCCACTTTTTCAGTTATTGGCGAAAAACTGATTTTCGGTTCCAGAAATCATGCAAAACTATGGGTATCTGGTGAATTGGGCTATGAAGGCCCTAAAGGTTTTTGAATGTGTGCAAATTCAAATTGTGCAGAATGGCCATGTTTATATATATATATATTATGACGCAATGAAACTACCGGACTGCGATGTATGGGGACTTGCCACCCCATGGCAACATTAAAATATATCGACTCTGTTACATCGTTTCCTCAAATTATTTGTTATATAGTAGTATACAACTTATGAAGCAACATGTACCCTAAATTACTTACTTTTCGAGTTATTCGGGGAAAAACATTGTATTACGTCCATTTTCTACCTGTAAAATACAGTCTCACGAGCTCTTCTGCGCGCGCAAGGGACTTTATTATGACGTCATCGCCAAAATAATACAAACGCTATTTACACGCGTTAGAGAGCAGTTAGAGATTTAGGAATTTCGACTCGTTGCTTTATAGTTTGCTATTTGTCACAATCTGTCAAAATATGAGGATAACTTTTTTTTCGGTTAACTGGTCCTTTAAACTACAGTTCAGTTCAGTCTAAAAACGAAGTCCGAAAGAAGAAAGAAGCTAAATGTCGTCGATAATCACGACGAAAGAGAAAAATAAAACGTGTCTCATGACGTTGATAAAGTGAAACTGGTCGTCGTATTCATTATCTGTATCTGTACTGTATCTGTATCTGTACTGAATGCTCGTAAGCCGGTATTATATTAAAGTTAAACTATAGTAGTACGTGACGATGAGTCTTTATTTTTATTGTGCGTGTTTTTCCACGTAAGAGTCGCGTAAAGAAAACCCGTTGAAACAACTCGATGTCTCCGTCAGTATCGCATTGACCTGTTATAATAGTAGCCCTTAGGGCAACTATAACATCATGATTTGAACACTGTCGATCATTCGCTTTTTTCCCTTGATTTTGTAGAAGGGATGAAATCTGTGGTAAATACAATGAACTCTAAAATATAGATCTATAAAACGGAGAACGAGATACCGGGATTTAGAATACGTGAATCTGTATTTTTATTGTGCGTGTTTTTCCAGCATGAAGTCTCAAGATTCCGAGAAACAATCAATAAGTATTAATACAAGTTAATACAAGTTCAAAGAACATGTTATCTTACTGGGTGCTGAATTGTACCAAAGATCTTATCTTCAACTCTCATATCTTTGTTCAATTAACATCTTGCAGAAGAATATGTGAAGAATCATGTCTACTTATTAGCGTGAAATTATCACAATGTGGTTCAGCTGCAAAGGTGCCGTACCGGAAACTCGTACTTCGTTTTATAGATCTAGATTGTATAATTAGTGGGGCGTGGAGGTTGTATTTCCCATGGATTTCAACCCTGGACTAAATCTCGAGAAATGAGACCAACTTCTTTTTATGTCATATCACGTGATTGATACAGTTTTTCACTGATTACTCGCTAGAAGTAGATGTAGGGGAGAATTTTAACCCTATGTCATGCGGGTAAAAATGGGTAAAACCCATTATCTAGTTTAAGTTCAGAGATATGGTTTTATAAGTTTCTGTTCTCTCTCTCTCTCTCTCTCTCTCTCTCTCTGTTCTGGTCAACGGTTTCTGGCCTCTTACTAAAAAGATGGAGGCCTTATCACCGTGCCCACAGAATGCAACTCCTGCTAGCTGCACGCCAGGACTCCCAAAGTATATACGAAATCATAAAATAATAAATATCAATGCAACAGACCCCTGGAGTCTTGAAGCTGTCACTACCTGTCTCAGAGCAAACCCACTTCCGTTGTAGTACTTCTGCGGGCAGACAAGGGACTTCCGAGCAAGCTCAAAGCCTGGGAGATATGTCTCTATGCGGAGATGGGCCTAGGTTGAGTTCCCAGTATGGGATGTAGCGAACGTTCCTGGTGAAGAATCCTAGGAGGTTACCCAAAAGGGTTTTCCCTATCCAGTCTTGTCGACTGTTCCACAAATTTGAAGATATGATTGTAGTTTACTGTTGTTAAGGTAGAGTTTACCAATTATCCTCATTCTGAACGTCATGATCTGGATGCACTTGCAGAGGAGGTGCTGGGATGTTTCTGCTTCTCCTGAAAAGTGTTCACAATCTTGCGTCTCGAAGTTGACGTTGTTTGCCACGTTCTGAAAATAAACTAGTGGGCTGTGACCTATTCTGAAAGCGACCATGTTAGCCATCTGATGTGAGTTCCAGAAAAATTAAAGTTCCTGTATTTATATTTGTGGAGGAACATCTCAAGTGGAATGTTCCTTTGTCACTGAGTGTGGCCTAAATCGTTAAACGATGTATGTCTTATTTGCATCCCCTAAGCATTGCAGTGATGTGTATTCCTGGTCCGGTTAGCTTTGCGTCTCAGAACTAAAGAGGTCCACTATGCTTTAGTGAGCTATGCTGTCCACCAGGGTACTGTAGATCTAAGGGTTCCCCGTGTAATGGGGCAGGCTGTGATAAAGCATCTCTGCAGGATGTCCGAGATGAACTGTTTCGAGTGTTGAGAACTTCCGCTGTAGAAACTGAATAGAACCAGCAAGGCTGTCAGTCAAACTCTTCTGCTACTAGATGATTGTAGAGCGTCCAGTCACACTTCAATAAAGAGTGTGGCAAAGCTAACCCGGTTCCCTGAAAAGTGGTTACTGGAGGAAGAAGTGCCAGGAATTCTTGCTATCAGTATGTCCTCGTAGTCAGAGTTGAAATCCCTAATTCTGTCTTATCACGAGCCTGTGTCAAGCGTATGTCAGCCCTTACGCATTAGCTGTCTTAACTGAAAAGACCTGAAAAGTGGTTACTGGAGGGAGAAGTGCCAAGACTACTCATAATCAGTGTGTCCTTGTACTTGTAGTCAGGATGAGCGAATTGGAATCCCTAGCTCTGTGGTGGGTGACTTCGATGGGACCTGAAAGCTGAAAGAGAATTTCCTGGTGATTTAATAGCTCCTAGAGCTAGGTATCTGTGTCTAACGTATCGTCATTTGTGTGTGTACTATCTTGTAACCTGCAATATCTGAAAGAGAAATTCCCTGGTTCTTGGTAGCTGTTAGTGTTGACTTCCTGGTTCCTATGGGAACTATGAGTTGGCAAGTCCCAACCTTTGTACTCAACATTCAACAAGAGAGCACACCACCCGTTAGTGCCAACGAGGCCACACCACGTGGAGGTTCGGAGAGGATTTCGTGATAAGTTTCTGTTATGATCGTCGACTTTCATAGTAAGAGTGTCTGAGTTTTTGATTCGTAGGATTTTTGCCGTAACTTTTGGACAGTCTGTTCAACTCCCGCTTGCCATTTATGCAACATTTATGCTACTGACATCAAACCACGGAGCTTTGGGCTTTATCCTTTGTCTTCTTTTTCCGCCCGCCATTTTCCTATCTGGATTGTTCCTCGGACCCTTTGTCGGAAGAATTACATCGGCAATGTTTTGGAAGATAGATACGAGTTCTTCATTAAGACACAAAATTTGTTTTTTGTCTGTGCACTATAGACATAGATTTACGAAACGAACATTTTGTTGAAACCAGACGTTTCTATATCAGTATCTCTTTTATTTTCGAAGTTCGGCCCATACCAGTAAAGTTTTCTGGGTGAGCGCGGCCCAGTAAAAGAAGCCCAATTTGTACGTGACACGTGTAATGTGTAGAAAATGAGTGAAGACAAAGTTCGTTTTTGCTTCCAATTTCTTAAATTACAGATAACAGTTTGAGTTAAGTTCTACGTCAATTGAATCGGATCACAAGCAACAAGTTAACTGACCAGAGCTTGAGGTGAATTACCTGGGGACCTCAGGCTATCGTGTTCATAGAGATTCGGCGGAATGACAAGCTGATATGAGCGCCATCCAAGGTTGTTAAATACGTCAAATTTTCGTAAAATAATACGACGTATTCGGTTCTAATAAAGAATACGTCGTAATACGCCGCACGCCGTAATACGGTAATTTCTATGGATTGTTAAATACGTCCACGAATACGCCATAATACGCCGTAATACGCTGATTTGTCAAAATTAAACATTATACAAGTATACAGCTGCGCGCCACCCTCATCATTGATCATGCATTAAAGGAGTGCAGTTAAGGAGTACATGATAACTTAAATTTGTAATCAAATTTCATGGATAATCCGATAAGCTAATATTTTTTGCGAAATTATCAATTACATATTAAGACATATTTAATGATTTTGACGTTTTCGTAATACGTCAATTTTCGAGGATTAATACGTATTCGTATTTCAATACGTATTCCATCCTAATACGTATTTAACAACCTTGCTGAGCGCGGCCCAGTAAGAGGTGAACAGAAATTTAGCGTCCGCTACAACGAAAAAACGGGCGTAATTCTTGTTAAAATAAAAAGGGGAATCTTGGCAAAACGGCAAATGAAAAACTCATAAAACTGGAACTGGAAGCTGACCCTCAAGAGATTTAAATTGAGTTATACCAGTTACATAAGTTTAGCCACGATTAGATAATAGATCTAACTAATAATCCCAGAATGTGTGTTTTCTGTCTGTCTGTCTGTCTGTCTGTCTGTCTGTTTGTAATTTCCGAGCGGCTTAATCAAGAAAACGGTAAGAGTTGCGGGACTGATTTTTTCGGTAAAGTGCCGACAAAACTCTGACGAAGTTAAATGATAAAGGTTTTTTAAATCTGTCGTTGGTAAGTGGTTTAATTGATGGTTTTGCACCACAAATGTTACATAAAATGGCTTGAGCAGAACGGTAAGAGTTACGGGGCTCGCATATGTAGCTGCATAATTAGTGTAATTGAGTTACCTGGATACGATTCGCTGTCTATACTATAATCTAATTAGGGGAGGGGGCACTGTTTGGACTGCAGAGAGAGAGTTCATACTTTCATACGACAATGTTATGCGTGTTCACAAATATGATAGGCGGGTGTGGTGTAAAGGGTTAATTTCTATTGATTATTGTTTAAGATACTATTACTATTGTTTAAGATACCATTGGATACGTGAGGGCACTCCGAATAGAATTGCTTACCTAATGCGGGTTTTGACTCAACGGGTAAATGCTCCTACCCTTTTTAACTGCGGCAGTGAAATCCCGGCCGAAGGCCGGGTTACACTAGTATATTAATATTATAGTTACAGTTACAGTCAGATGATATTATACTTACAGTTTCCAGGAATCTAAGCTTACAATATATTGAATACTCAAACACAAAAGATCGAAATTGAGTCACTTTGCATTTGTCTTTAGCCATGTTAAGATGTATCATAGTTATATTTATAGATATAGTTAGATGATAAGTTTATAATTTCCAGGAATTTTAACTTACACACAATGTGTTGAAATACAATGCTGTAAAGTTACAATACTGAATACTCAATATATTGAAATTGAGTCACTTTAGCTGCACGTTTATATGTATTATAGTTACTAGCAGGAACCCGTCAAACCTTTAAGACTGGTGTCAAGGCTCTTTGGTGGCCGGATCAGTTTCCTACCCTAAAGTCTCCCAGTGAAAATAATTATTACCTATTTAATTCGCGTTTTTGACACCACTTGGGGGTCCAAATTTTGGGTACTAAAATTCTTATTCCTTGGCCAATTTTCGATTTTTTCATGCTGATTTGAAGGCCATTAAAGCATTTGAATCAGTTAAAAAAGTTTCAGTTTTATATCTTGTACGGTTTTTGCGGAAACCCGTGTTAAAGTTGATGCCGTGGTGTCAGTAAAATGGTGCGGATAAATAAATATATATATATCGTCTCGCTTTATATATAGTAAGATAGTTACATGATATTATAGTTTGAGGGAATTTTAGCTTACAAACACAGTGTGTAGCTGAATCTAATGTTGTAAAGTTACCATATTGAACACTCTGGCTCAATTACGCTCACAAAAAGAACGTATATGTTGCCTCTGTGATCATTTCTATAATCACCATTATAAAGCTTAGATTCATGTGAGCTTTCCAGTTTCAATTCACCACTTCTTCACTAAAGCAATAATAAACATTTCTACCAACATTTTTAAACTACGAGTGATTTAGCCAAAAACATAACAAGATAATACATAGTTGAGATCATGCAATGAACATCTAAAATCTACACTGTCCCCACTGTACATGGTTGAGATCATGCAATGAATATGTAGAATTTAATCTAAACTGTCCCCATCACAGTGCTAGGAGGTATCACGGAGCTGAGTGTTGATGATAAGGACGCAATAGAAGCAGCAGAAATGGGAGTCAGAGAGCTGAGAGACCGTGCAGTGCGTCAGGGAACCCTAAATGAGAATAGTGCTTTCGTCAGAGTAGACATCGTCCGAGCTAGATACCAGGTATATATCAGGTATCCAATCGGTTTTTTAATTGTGTCCTTCATTATATCAAATTATCTGTCATCTCAGTTCCTTCCTTTGCTGGAAGAGCTTTAGGTGTGATCACGTCAACTTCATAAGCGTCACCACCATGATACGCAGTATCTAGACCCACCCTCTCACTCTCCTCATCTACTCGTAACCAGCCAGCCAGCTTCAACCCTCCGAATACCAACGTAGCCATCACCCCGGACCACGCTAGGTTAGCTAGTATTACCACAACCTGAGCAGCAAGTTGTTTCTCTGCATTGCCTGGGTCACAGTGAGATCTGTAGAGTATTCCACAACTTGCTGTACCGTACAATGTTTCTACATGCTCGGGAACAGCAAAGAAACCCACTGCTAAGGTGCCCCAAACTCCACCGGCTAAGTGAACTGGAACTGCTTCAACGGCATCATCTATCTTGAACCAGAGGAGGAGCTTGCAGGCACTGAAGTAAAAGACGGCACCACCGAAGCCGATTATAAGAGAGGTGTAGGCATTTACAACCCCACATCCAGCGGTAACGGAGACTAGGCCGGTGAGAATACCATTGTTGACGACAGGAACATCTAAGGATCCATTGAAGAAGCGACTCAGGGCTGCACTTGTCAACCCAGCAGTGGCAGCACTTATCGTCATATTGACCACCACGTTGCCACAGATAACGGCCATGTTTCCTTTAATCGACAAGGCTGAGCCGGTGTTAAACCCGTACCATCCAATCCAGAGGACCAGAGTTCCTGTAGTCTGAAGGAGAGTACTTTGCTGTGAAAGGTGGTTCACATGTCCATCTTCTTCAAACCTGCCTTTTCTTGCTCCCAGGAGAATGCAAGCTATCAAGGCTGTCAGACCTCCAACAGAGTGCACCACAGTGGAACCAGCAAAATCTATAGCTCCGACCCCAAAGAGCCGAGAGGCTGCAGGTAGAGCAGTCGAAGCCCACCCTGTTCCAGACCACACCCAATGAACAACCACCGGGTATACCAGGCCCGTGAGTGCCATTGAAAATACAAAGTAAGATGCCAACTTGGTCCGCTCTGCAATGGCACCCACCACTATCGAGGAAGCTGTAGCAGCGAATGCGAACTGAAGGAACCAGAATGCATAGTCCTGGCTGGTGGATAGCCCGGAGATAGCAAAGTCGGAGAAACCTATAAATGGTGAGCCTTTACCGAATGCGAAGGCGTATCCGAAGATATAGAAGGATACACCCCCTACAGATGCATCCATGAGATTTTGAAAGATGATGTTATTCGTATTTCTCCTAGAGACACTGCCAATCTCAAGAAGAGAGAATCCCAGCTGCATGCTGAGAACAAGGACTCCACAAAAAATCAGGAATGCTGTGTCCGTTGAGTTTGTTAGGGAGTCAGAGAGGTCCATGGTCGTCTTTAGCTGTAGGGGTTGAGTTTTATAAGAAAAGTAAAGCTTTTGTTGTCAAATATAACTTGGTAGTCAGGGAATCAATACAAAATATTATATAATTACACGACTGACACGTCATGACGTTATCTAAAAGCTTCTTAAATAAACTGTAGCCTGTAGTATCAAGAATGTGTTTTCAAAACAATGTTCCATGGATATGATTTCATCATCATGGAGTCCACGATGATGAAATCGAATATTTCCAACCAGACGAACGAGTGGAATCTTGGGCCGGCCCCATGTTGGCAAATAAATACACCTATAAAATTTGCGAGCCTTTTGACACAATTTGTCCATTCAAAAAGTTGGTATTTTTCTTTCTTGGGTAGTGAGAACTGCTGCGTACAATAACAAGAAGAATAAGATGGATATTAGATATTTGATATTAAATACAAAACAAGAGAGGGAGTAACGTTGCTGCTAACGACCAACTCATCAATGATGATGATAATCTCAACCAGATTCAAATTGTGTCACTTTAGTCATGACTAGATATTTTGGTTATAAATTGATACGTGTATCAGAGATTATATGTGTGTAATTCTGGAATCTTCTGGAAGCAAAGTATTATTGTCTATGAGACTTGGACCGTGAATGTTCTTTATTGTCTTATTAAACTGGACAATCATGTGGATCAACCAAAGTTTGAAGAAGATTAGATCTAAAATCTGGCGCACGTTTTGCAAAAAATGCTGCAATGAAGCCTGAATAAGTTATTGAATCGGATTCAAGACTGGATCGGACAATCAGTTAATTGGATAATTACCAATTAGCTAATCACCAATTTTTATCGGCTCAAAATGATCGGAATACCTTACGAGACATTTAAATGGTACGAAAGTCGGTGGTTTTTCGAAAAATCACCATATTTTCGGACTACCAAAATTTAGGTCACCTGCATTATTATTTTGCCCCAAATTATTTTTCACGTATTTTCCTAAATTATGAATTTATCGATTTACTATCAACTTATCAATACAGTAAGTTATAAATATGATTCATCAAAGAATTAATGAACACCAGTATTCGATCATGACCTGCTTTAAAAAATGATTTTGGACACGTCCAATTAAAAATAATCAAGCTCTGTACTGTCACTAGTACTACTTTATTGGCCACAGCGGTGAAATTTCGGGAGTAGTGAAAGATAACAAACTCTGTCGGTCTCCTATACTCTCTGGAGGATTATAAGTTAAGTTGAGACTAACTTTCAAAGGCTTCTATTCGGAGAAATTGTAAAACAATTTGAAATTGTAAAATAATTTGAAAAATCCCCAAATACCATGATTTAATTTGGGGTACGAAGTGTGGCGGTTTTCGGAAAAAATTCCCATATTTTCGTTCCCAAATCATTTAGGTCACCGGAATTATGTCGAACATAAATATATCTCGTTATTTTCATAATGGTATTTTCATAATTTAATATCCGAGCAAGGCACTTGACTCCGGTAATAATCAAACGGTAATAATCAAACCAGTTCAAAGAGTTCCAGGAGCTAGTCAGCATTTCTTGGAAATTGTTAGACGGCAGGACAGATCAAGAAGGATTCTTTATTAAGGATGTTGATTTGGAATTGGGATGTTGTAATGGCAATGCAAAAATAAAGGATATTTGAGGGCCATGATGATCAGCTCGGGATTAATTTGGGACGGATCGAAGAGCATTGAAAAGAGGGGGTTGAAATTTTAGGCTTCCTGGTCTTTCCTTGCCATTCTTGGTATCAAATCACGTATTGGGATTGAAAACAATTCGATAATATGTACTTATGGTACGGCACTAGCACGTGATAGTCGAGTGACGTAGTCACGAGACATGCCCCCGTGACACAGAACTCTGCTGCAATGGCCATTCACAATCGTCTCAGAGTAAAACCGGTTTTTCTGAATATTTTTGTGAAATTTATTGAATTCACATGATTATAGTTCTAGAGAACAGCACGGGTCAAGCATGAAGTATCATTTTAAATTAGAGTAGATCGGAAAGGAACTACTTTCATAAATTTGAACAGGAAATTATCACGAACAAACATTTGAAAATATATCTTTAAAAAATCAAAACTACATGGTAAAGCGAATTTAAATAAAGCGCTTTTTTCACTCCTAATAGTAATAATTAAGGCGACTTTTCATTCCTTAAGAACAAGCACCTTCAACACACTGTTTGATGCAGGTGTAACGGAAAATGACATAATTAAGAGGACCAGACACTGGAGCGTAGTCACGAGACATAAGTGATGAGAAATCAAAATAAATGAAGATTCCTGGCACAAAAAGATCAAATAGGACCGGGTCCTTGCACGCTGATCCTTTAAATCTCACCTCAAAACTCAATTAAAAGATCTGCCAAAAAATGCGTTTCTCAATAAGTTGTTTGGAGTATGCTCTGTAACTAAAAACCGGTTTTACACGTGCCCACAAATAAGCATTCAATGAAATAGAGGTAATCTTTCACGTGACACGCAAGAGTGATCATGCTGTAGGCCACGTGGATCGTCTCTGATTGGTGATGGTCAGTGTTACGGAAGAAAATAGAAAAGTGTGTTTTTTAAATTGTTAATTAAGTCCAAATTTGGTTTTTCTGGTCGCAAATCGTAGCCTTATTTATCTTGATGTGCTGTACCATTAACCATAAGTAAGTTATGGGACAGCAGCCTTCGGCACTCGTTGCTCCAGCAGTCCCATAACCTACCTAACACCACCCACCAAATACGTATAGGCTATGATAAATCACGTTTCTTGCACAACTTGGTCTGATTGTGGAGGAAAAGAAGATATTTGGTATATCCAGATACCCGGTATAGATTGACACGATTGACGGTATAGACTATAGAGCTTCAAATTATTACAAATTTGGTTATCTTAACCCCACTTCATTGAAATCAATAAAACGATAGTACACATACAACATTACAACAGGCTATCAGCTCGATTTTGAATGGGCCTTCGGTGCAGTTTCTGTGAAAGTTGATAAGGCGTGTGGTTTATGTTTTTCAGTTTCAGAACTTTCCACTTAATAATTTCTGATAATACTAAAATCTGCCGAGATTTACTGAACTCCAACTACAAATATTGGTGATCTTTTCCCTGATAAGATAAAAACCTTCGATTAAATCCACAATCTTCTACGATGTTCACAACTAAAGATATTTGACAAGCAAGAAAGGAGGCAAAAAGTGGTAAAAGTGGCCTTAAGAAGTTAAGACACGTGGAAAATCTTGGAAAAGTTGGTCAGCCATAAAGGGCACCTATGACCTATAAATGGAACTAAAAAACGTAAAAAGCCTTTGGAAGCTTCTTGTGTCGGTAGATCGATTTTTCAGACGGATCTGTTTGTACTTTATAGACAAATATGCACCAATATGATTTTCCCATGCACAATCAGCCTCGCACAAATCGGTGACATTTAGAAAATATTTATGATACCGGTAATTTGCTGATCCGTTAATCATCACTGAAGCTAATTGATACAAAATTTAGAAAATTAACGATATAGTTCTGCTGTTCGGTTAAATTTAATAATATCCATGGATTTGAGTATAAATGTGGCTGATCACTGTTGCACGCTATAGCAAATAGCTTTTGATGAGATCTGCGCATGATAAAGTGCCGATAAATCGCTTAAATTGTAAATACACAATTGAAATTTTAGGAAAGCACCTAAATAATAAAATCAAATGTGTTTAAAACTTAAGGAAGTAGTCTCGTTAAGGACTTTCTAGCATGCCTAACATCAAGATTAGCCGTTCAAAACGATTTTTTATCAAGTTTATTTTTCTTGTTGAGATTCGGGAACCTTATTCAAATTCAATAACCTGGTAATTTCTTATTTTAGATTTGTGATTCTAAAAATATAGCTGCTAGCAGGATAGGTAAAGAGATTGAGACAAATTCGATTAAATATTTGTCATGATTTAAATTCATGCAGGTTTAACTGCAAGCGTCTGGGGGATTGTAAATCGTTAGTTACGTAGTCTAGCTGGAAGGTTGAATGGGTAGAGAGCTGGGTCTACCATTTTGTTTGAGGTCTGACATTTGTCAGGTCAAGCATTATGTGGAAAGAGCTAAACGGAACCACGTTGACAAATCCTCATCAAAATTCAGTATTTTTGGCTCATTATGTATGATAAAAGTTACTGAAAATAAGTGTATAAGCAACAGTGTTTTCGGAAAAATTATATCACCGAAGATACAAGGTAGGACCGGTATTTTGTCAAATTCTAAACACAGGTGACAGGCTATCGTTCAATCAGTCAGGCTCTGACGAATTGTGTCGCTCGGAGAATTGAAGAACTGTACTATGTTTGCAGTGTCCACCAAGCTCCCACAAATATAAACTAGTTGTGTGAAGTGTGGGTCCAGGGTATTCTTGGTATTCTTACTGTATTCTCAGTAGTTGAACCGCTCAACTTCAAACCAATTCAATATTTTTGACAGTTTGATGCGCCCAGATGAAACTAATGCTATGCTGGCCGAATGCCAAATTTTTAGTTCAAATTAGCAAATTATTTCAGTTTCTAGGCAATTATCTTCATATTCAACCGAGTTATTTTGGGTTTATTTTTCAAATGAAGTACTGAAGCCAAATAAGATAATGGCTAAGTACACTGACACACAAACTTAACATTGAACAAGAACAAAAACCACATTCAAAGACTGAGGAATCAGGAGGACTCTGCAACCCAGGAATGAACTACTTAGCTATCATCGCTCAATAATCAATCAAAGCGTTCTCAATCTATGGCAAAAATAGTGAAAAAGAGAGAGTGGCGGACCACACCCTCTGTAATCGATGAAATTTTATGAAACTTGCAGAAAATCTAAGTTTTACCCACATCTATATTCTCTAAAATTTGTAAGCAATTCTAATTGGGCCCTCTGTAAAGTTCCCATAATGCGGATCAACCAAATCAACCCAATGTCAACCCAATCACCTGATCACACGTAATGAACAGACTCGTTATGCTTC